GACTGAGAGGGTGCATATTTTGAGCCCCACACATATCGATCGTCACCGTACAGCCGCTCCGATGAGCTCGGTGTTGGTCAGCATTCAGTGGCTGTTTTGCCAGCCGGCCACAACACAGCTTTCTGACGGTCTCCGACTAAGGCTGAACCATGTTTCCGAGTGCCGCGAAGACGTTCTATTATGCCGATCTGATGGCGAACTATCTGCTCTTCTACTGCGGCAGCCTGGCTATTAGCTTGAGCATCGGCGGGTTCATGCTTCAGCCGCCCTTGGCAGCAAAGCGTCTCTCCTATCCCTACTATCACTTCACGGGCATTTGGCTGGGCTCTTTTGTCATCCTCCTCAGCGCTCTGGTACCGATGGGCCGCCACGGAGTGAGCTATCTACGATTCATTTTCATCATCGGACTCTTCGTCAACGTCATCCTCTCGGCCGCCATTGGCATGCTGTTGGACGAGCTGATCGTCTGGTTCGAGATGCCCATTGTCACGTTGATGGGATCCGACAATGAGTTTTCAGCTGAAGACATCAGCGTGGCTCAGTCGTTTGGACGCTTCTTCAACATGCAACAGTTGCGCGCCAAGTCGATGTTTACACTCGCCATGATCATAACTTGCCTCATCTACTATCGACTGGTCGCGTTCGGTGTGGTCATCTACGATGATATCAGCATGATGACGCAACAGGTCATCAAGCCGGAAGAGGAGAAGGCCTATCAGGACCTGTTGGACCAATATAACCAGAGCGTGGAGGAAGGATTGTTTGCGGGAATGTCGCCGACATTCGATGAGATTAAGGTGAGTTTTCTCGCCTAAAACGCCCGATAAAGTGAACTGCTATAGTCTTCCGGTGTGCATACACTTGCACACGCAGACAAACGGACACAAACATGCTGTCGGACTATTGGGGAGGACAGCTCTTTTGAAGAGCGGCACAAAATAGTCCAAATTCAGGCCGGTACAGTGGAGCTAATGAACCGGAAAGTAAGAGTAAATAGTCAGACTTCTGGTGAGTGGAAGAACGGAAATTTCCACTCATCTTCACTAGTGTTTTAAAGTTGAAAGATCTCTTTCTTCTTCGGTGGTATGGCAGACGCGCTGCGCTCTTGACAACTGGCCTGGTCAGAAGACTTCTTCATGTGATTCCAACAGGCAAAGTCTGCATTCAAGAAAGTTAAGAGTTCTCGATTTGTGTGGTTAATGTTGGGATCGAGCCGACATGTACAGATTGGGTCTGGTCCTGTGACATGTGGCCTGAGATGTTGTGGGCCAGGGCGAATCAACCAGGAAGTAGACACCTTATTCCGATGAGACCGAGCCACTAATGCCGTCATAAAACACTTTCACATGAAATGGAAAATTTATTGAAATCCAGTTATCATATGCATAATCAAAAGTGTGAAGACCAAGATGGTGTGGCCTTTTGTGTGGTCGCAGTCTCCCTTCGTTGTGTAGAAGTTGTTTGACCTTGTTTTCGCAACTTGGTCATGTTAATAGGAAGACTTAGAGGAACGCACCTAGTTTGGAGTCCCTTGTATGAATGATCATTTCCAGAGTAGGACCGTGGACGTGGTACATTCTTAGACGTTTCGCCGGCATCGTAGTCGGCATCGTCAGTGAGTGTCGCCATTCTTAGCACCGCACAACAACTCGTCAAAGAGACAAGTGAAGCCGATCCTTTGACCAAACTTGTGCTAAACAATTGTGATATCTCCCCTTCCGCCCCGGGTTATTCGCGATTCCGGTAGCATCCTATCATACCTTCACTATTACAATTTTTACCGTGTTTATTTAGATGTAGTGTGGTGTGCTCCTTTGAGCGGCATTCCTGAACACCCTTCACACCCAACTGTCGTTCTCACACACCCCCCCTTCATCCTTGTGGAGGGAATGTTGCTTTAGTATTATGCAGTCCTCTTTCCTAGTCTTATTCCAATCTCTATCATACTCCGTAAAATCCGTATGCTCTTCCCCTTGTTCACCAATTTCACTCGACTCCTGCTACCACATCTGACCTACTCCAAGCTTTGTTCGCCCCTCCCCTGTGTCTGGGTGACTAATTCGAGGCGCAAGCTTCTGAGTATCATGGTCACCCCTTTGCTAGATGTACCACGTCTCTGGTACAACAAACCTACCGTCAGCCAACCAGCTCGGGTCCCCAGCGTCGCTATCCTGTTTCTATCCCGAATACCGTGCCCTAATCTCTTGTGTGCCAACCCACAAATGTTGTGGTATAGGTTGTCTTGAATTGATTTAATGTTGAACCACAGCATCTGTGGGTTGGCACACAAGAGACTATGGCATAGGAAGTCATAGACTTGGTATTATAGATAGGGCTATATATCTAAATAAACACGGTAAAAATTGTAATAGTGAAGGTATGATAGGATGCTACCGGAATCGCGAATAACC